TAATCTCAGCACATACCTATGAATTTGAAAGTATTCACTGCAGTGCTTAAATTATTTTCTAAAAATAGTAGAATTAAAATTTATTAGTTTCACCCTCGTCAATCTTTCATTAGTTATATCCCTTTTTTTTTTTTTGTAATAAAACTTTCATTAAACCTAAATTTATAGTAAACTACAAAATATTCATAGAGAACATTAGTGAGGAAGAAAAAGATATAATGTACCATAGTTTGGAATCGCAAACGGTATTACCGCGTTTTGTAGGGTTATTTTCTCTTCAATCATATGTTCTACAAAATGCATAGTGAGATTAATTCATCGAGTATTCTTGTGATAAGGGGTCTTCCTTAATTTGTGGGAATGAATCACGGTACCAAGAGTTTTATAATAATCATACATCATGCTCAACCAAGCAGATCTAAACCTCATTGATTGATAAGGGTCCTCCTAATAGTCTGATTAAATATTGAAATTTCGAATAGTTATCTTAAAATATTTTAATCACTAGTTATGTTCATCACTTAATTACTTAAAACATGAAATGGTATAAGTATAATTTATCAATTATACATACATAATGAATATGAAGAGTAGTTTAGTTTTATTAGTTATTAATAAAGTTGATAAATATTTTATATTGATAATATAATTATAAAAATATTAATAATACATATGAAATTTAATTAATTTAAAAATTAAATAACTGGTGTGAGCATTAATTGAGAAAAGCTTGAGGGACAGAATGACCTAATAAACCACCATGACTCTTGAACCATATCTCCAACCTTCAATTTTTCTTTGTCTTCTAATGTACTTTAGAATAAGTTAGTGAACATTGATTTCCAATTTCATGGAACCAAGTGACATAATAACACAAACTCTGTTGGTTTCCTGCTAATAGTGGAATCGGGGCAGGTAACAATTATTCAGGTTTCCCACTGATAGACCATTTTAATTGGCAGAAATAGGGAACATATCCATCTTTAGTGCAGCTATGTTAAATCAAACTCGTATGCAGAATGTTCATATATCCTTTAGACTTCATGATTGGCTAAAGCCTGAAGGGAGGATGAAGAAATGCTGACTCCAAAAGTTGATCATATTTTGAGAAACTAATCTTCATTATATCTGAACTAATTTGATTACTTGATCGAGGATATATTTTTTTTCTCTTCAGCAAACTAGTATGGTACCGGTGCTATAATGCACTAGTTGTCACCTATTTTTTTATGTTATTTAATTATTAATTTGTGAAAGTATATGTTTTTATAATTATTTAATAATCACTATATATATATATATATGTGTGTGTGTGGGGGGGGAGGGGTAAAATAATGTGCAAAAATTTTCATATAAAATTACTAGAATGAAAAAAAATTAAATAAAAGAATGACATTTGTAGACATGTGAGCTAATTAAAACAAGATTAGTAAATTACAAGTATTTGGGAGAATAAATAAGACATTTACTTGAACCATAACTTACATTTCTAAATCTCTTCTATATATTTTCGCATATAATTTGCAAAAGTATTAATAAGCATCGGCAAATATAATTTTGTCAATAATTTATAGATTTAGTGTTTTTCATTTATAGTTATCAAATAAGTGCGCTATTTTTTATTCTACATGTCATAACATATATTAATATAATATAAAATTATAATACCTCATATATATATATATAAACTCAAAATTCATACAGGTAAAAAGAATTACATTGGTGACATAAACTAACTTAAAGAAATAACAAATGACAAAAGAATTAAAATCAAACTACTCAATTTAAATAATATAAAATAAATCCTAATTAGTCCTAACTATTTTTAGATATCACATGTCTATTAGAGCGACCCAATATTGAGGATTAGGCCTCATCACCAACATCCTCAACACCATGTTCCTGTAACAATCATAAGGAAACAAAACAAAAGAAAAGAGAGTGAGAAACATCTCACTCTTACTTACAATGCAAGAATTGGCTAGCCAAACACACAACACATACCATAAGATATATTATACACAGTTACACATTATCATCATACTTAGTTCATTCATAGCATAATAAATAACAATAAGATTATAATGCATATGCAATGAACATAGACTACATGTTTTCATGCATGTGACACTAGGGAAAACATCACACTTGTGCATAACCACTAGCAATACATTAGAGTAGTCTAGGAGTACATGTTGGGTGACATCCTCAACAAACTCTCACTAAAAGAACATACTACGATGGTCCGGTCGAGATAGTTAAGTTTTGCAAGATACATCCCATGCTCACGAGGGCAGGATTGAAACTTCCAAACTAAATTATCCCCAAGGTTGGTTCCCAAGCTTTTACACAAGGGACTTTCCTTAGCGATGTAGTCCATATTGTATCCTTACAAAAACATTTTTATGCATGATGCATGTTAAATCGACTCACATTCACATGACTCCATAATTTCACATATCACATGTTCCTCATGTCACTTTACCCATCATTCACATTCATACATACATACATACATATACATATACACTACTAGAAAAATTAATATTTGTGACGGAAAAAATATCGTCACTAATAGTGATGAATTTTGTGAGAGAATTTTAATTTTTGTGACGGACTACCATTTATTGAAGTTTGTGACGGATTAAATTTTATCTCTAAAAGATCCGCCACAATTTCCATCACTGAATAAAAAATAAAATTAGTGACGGATTAAGTTCCTTTATAAATATTCCCTCACAAAAATGCGTCATAATATTATAATAAGTTTCTTTTTTTTGTTCTTCAATTAATTTCAAATTCAATTCATGATTGTGGATTCCTTTTTTGATTAATTGAAGAATAGAATCAATTCAAGTTAATTTGAGAACACCAAATTGGATTCAATTCGAATCGAAACAATGCGAAGTAGATTTGTCTTCATATGGTTTTCATAGAGCGCGATTGCGTTCTTCGTTCCTTAATTCGAATTGTATATTAAACGGTGAAATTCAGATTAATTTTTGATACAACAATAATTAGAAACTTGAATTGGTGTTTTATTCAATTAGATTGACAAATTCATGATTTTGTAGAAATAAATTGTAGTTTTACAATACGTTTTAATTTCTACACATAAATTGTTTGTGAAAAATCTCCTTGTTAACTCTTAATAAAATTTAAGTTTTTCTGAGTTGTCTTTCGAGGATTTGACACTAGTGGAAAAAGTGGCTTTTACGTCTCCTAAATTACGTCAGAATGAATTAATTTCAAATTCAATTCATGATTGTGGATTCCTTTTTTGATTAATTGAAGAATAGAATCAATTCAAGTTAATTTGAGAACACCAAATTGGATTCAATTCGAATCGAAACAATGCGAAGTAGATTTGTCTTCATATGGTTTTCATAGAGCGCGATTGCGTTCTTCGTTCCTTAATTCGAATTGTATATTAAACGGTGAAATTCAGATTAATTTTTGATACAACAATAATTAGAAACTTGAATTGGTGTTTTATTCAATTAGATTGACAAATTCATGATTTTGTAGAAATAAATTGTAGTTTTACAATACGTTTTAATTTCTACACATAAATTGTTTGTGAAAAATCTCCTTGTTAACTCTTAATAAAATTTAAGTTTTTCTGAGTTGTCTTTCGAGGATTTGACACTAGTGGAAAAAGTGGCTTTTACGTCTCCTAAATTACGTCAGAATGGGCAAAGACCGACATTATAAAAACACGGTGGCACAACCGTAAATATCAGAAGATAATTTACGTCGGCCTGGTAGGGGTCCGACGTAAATTATCAGTTCTACGTCGGCTCTATACCTGACCGATGTAGAATTGATAATTTACGTCGGACCACTACCAGGCCGACGTAAATTATCTCCTGGTGCTAAAAAACTCCCAATATTCTCAAATTCTCGCGCGCGCCTTCTACTCTTTTTCTACTCTCATATTGATTCTCATATTCTTGTACGTAAGTTTCGGAGGCCCTTGTTTGGACACATGGCTCTCAGTCTAAGTCCTTGAAGAGTCTGCACTGAGGTAACTTTCATTCTCATATTCTTCCCATTATTTTTCTTATTTTTGTGTTTTACGTTCATCTGGAACGGCCCGTTCTGCAAGGAGAACGACCCATTCTGCAAGGAGGACGACCCGTTCTACATGGAGAATGACCCGTTCTGCTGGAATTTTTGTTCTTGTAATTTGTTGATCTGGAACGGCCCGTTCTAATTTCAGTACGGGCCGTTCCAGATGCATTAAAGAAGAGACTTTTTTAGGCATTGACCTTTAGTTTACCATCCATTCTGTTTGTGTATTATTTGTTTTTTTATTAGTTATTATGTTGCTATATTGTAACTATGTTTTAGGCATTGACCTTTAGTTTACCATCCATTCTGTTTGTGTATTATTTGTTTTTTTATTAGTTATTATGTTGCTATATTGTTATTATGTTTTTTACTTTATTTGTCTATTCAGTTAATTCATTGTTTTAATAATGAGAGTTTAATTTTTTCAGGATTATGGAGGATTCTGGGTCTGGCAGTGGAAGGAGGGAAGGTAGATCTGTCACCCGATTGTCTGGGTTGACAGCTGGGCGCATTGCCAAGGAGAGGACACCGGTTGAGGTGGATCCTCGTTCTGGCAAGGCATCAGGCCCAAATGCTGCCAAGTTTAAGAGCTATTTGGGAGTCCTAGCTCGACGACATGTTTCTATTATCATTCCATCATGGGATGACGTTCAGGAGGTTGACAAGAACCTCATGTGGCAGGATATTCAGGTATATACTTTCACATCCTTTCAATATTATATAACTTAAATACATTATTTATTATTTGTTGTTATTTTCATAGCAAAATTTTGACATTCCCAACACTGAGGGCATGAGGAGGAAGATGTTATCTGCCCTTGCCACCAGGTGGAGAGACTTCAAGACTTTCTTGACACGGGAGTATGTATTTGGAGAGCGCCAAAATGAGACTCCCTGTCTAAAGTACCAGATCACTGATGAGGAGTGGATGCAATTTCGTGCCACTCGATTGGACCCTTCGTGGCAGGTTAGTTATTGATAACTCTTACATTGACACAAATACTTAAGGTATATTTTAATTAATCGTATTTTCTTTTTTGTATTATTGCAGGCTAAAAGAATAGCTGCCCAAGAACGACAGGCCAAGAATGATGCACCCCATCTATTGTCAAGAGGGGGATATGAAAGAAAAAAAA